TTGCGAGATGCACAAGGTGTTACAAGACGCTGCTAAACGCTTAATTTATATCGGGATTTTCAGTAAAACAATACTAATATATTCCTTTCGACTAGAATTCCAATCTTGTCCTGCAAGCAGATGTACGTCTCATTGAACGTCCGCGTCGCGATGAGGCCACCGGGGAGGTAGTCTCGCTAGTGGGCAAGTTGGAGGGAACACGCATGGGCGACCGCTATCAGCGTACAAAGCCTGAAAAAATGGAAGAACGCAAAGCGAAACGACAAAAGCGTGATGAAGCCCAGTATGATTTTGAGCGCATGAAAGGAGCTACGCTATTGTCGGAGGGTATAGATGAAATGGTAGGCATTGTGTACCGCCCAAAAACGCAGGAGACTCGACAGACATATGAGGTGCTGCTAAGTTTCATACAAGAAGCTTTAGGTGATCAGCCGCGTGACATTCTTTGCGGTGCGGCTGATGAAATTTTGGCAGTGCTGAAAAATGACAAGCTAAAAGATCGTGAGCGAAAGCGAGAAATAGATAGTTTGCTGGGATCGGTAACCGACGAACGGTTAGCATAAATGATATCAACTAACGCTTTCATTCTTAATATTTATATACACTTTACTTCAGATTTGCTTTGCTGGTAAATCTTGGCAAGAAAATCACTGATTTTGGCTCGGATGCCGTAAACGCCTTGAGTATTGCTGGCAATGAAGAGCAAATAGACGAGACTTATGGCATCAATGTGCAGTTTGAGGAGTCAGAAGAAGAAAGTGATAACGACATGCATGGTGAAATACGCGATGAAGATGGCCAAGAGGAAGGCGAGGAAGCGCGCATAGATCATACATTACACGCAGAAAATGTAAACAAGGCTCTGGCTAAATTATTATTTTTTCTTTTTTAAGTAATATTTTTCCTTTCTTGCAGTTACTCACAGAGGAGGCTGGCAATGTAAAGAAGGAGCGCGGCTTGCATCCATTGGATATTGACGCATACTGGCTACAGCGTTGCCTTAGTAAATACTACAAGGATGCTATGGTATCACAGAGTAAAGCCGCAGATGTTTTAAAAATTCTCAAAGATGCATCCGACGAACGCGACTGCGAAAACCAGCTTGTACTCCTACTCGGATATGACTGCTTCGACTTTATCAAACAACTAAAAATCAATCGCGCAATGATTTTATACTGCACCATGTTGGCGTCAGCGCAAACGGATAGCGAGCGTCAACGCATCAGGGAAAAGATGCGCAACGATAGCCACTTAGCAAAGATTTTGCGTCAGTTGGATACCGGAAAGTCGGAAGAAGACGACTATGGCAATTCTTCGCGTGCCAATAAACGGGGCAAAGAGGAAAATGATGACTCAGGACAAGGTATGGCCGGTCAAGTGGCTGGAGTGCGGCAAGTGCTCGAGTTGGAGGAGATAGCTTTTACACAGGGATCTCACTTCATGGCAAATAAAAGGTGCCAACTGCCTGATGGCTCGTTCCGCAAGCAACGCAAAGGCTATGAAGAAGTACATGTGCCCGCCCTCAAACAAGTGCCGTTCGAAGATAAGGAAGAGCTTCAATCCATTGATAAGCTACCGAAGTATGTGCAGCCAGTATTTGAGGGTTTCAAAACTCTCAATCGTATCCAGAGTCGTCTGTGGAAAGCCGCACTAGACAGTGATGAAAATATGTTGCTATGCGCTCCCACCGGTGCTGGCAAAACGAACGTAGCCTTACTAACAATGATGCGTGAAATCGGCAAACACATCAATGAAGATGGTACAATTAATGTGGATGAATTTAAAATCATCTACGTAGCGCCAATGAAGTCTTTGGTGCAAGAAATGGTGGGTAACTTTGGCCGTCGCTTGTCTTGTTATAATTTGACTGTCTCCGAGTTGACGGGCGATCATCAGCTAACACGCGAGCAAATAGCCGCCACACAGGTTATAGTTTGCACACCAGAAAAGTGGGATATTATCACACGCAAGGGAGGAGAAAAGACCTTTACAAGCCTGGTGCGATTGGTCATCATCGATGAAATCCATTTGCTGCATGATGAACGTGGTCCAGTGCTTGAGGCATTGGTGGCCCGTACAATTCGAAATATTGAAACCACACAGGAGGATGTACGCTTGGTAGGCTTGTCCGCTACGTTGCCTAACTATCAAGATGTAGCAACATTCTTGCGCGTCAAACCGGATAAAGGACTATACTATTTCGACAACAGCTTCCGTCCAGTGGCGCTGGAACAACAATACATCGGCGTGACTGAAAAGAAGGCTTTGAAGCGCTTCCAAGTCATGAACGAAATTGTTTACGAGAAGACAATGGAGCATGCTGGTCGCAATCAGGTTTTGGTGTTTGTGCATTCGCGCAAGGAGACTGGGAAGACAGCGCGTGCAGTGCGCGACATGTGTTTAGAGAAGGACACACTTGGTAGTTTTCTGCGCGAGGGATCAGCTAGTATGGAAGTGTTGCGAACAGAGGCAGAGCAGGTGAAGAATACGGAGTTGAAGGAGCTACTGCCCTACGGTTTCGCCATACATCATGCTGGCATGACACGTGTCGATCGTACGCTGGTGGAGGATCTTTTCGCCGATCGTCATATTCAGGTCCTAGTGTCCACTGCAACACTGGCTTGGGGTGTTAACTTGCCCGCGCATACAGTTATAATCAAAGGCACTCAAGTATACAATCCGGAGAAGGGTCGTTGGGTAGAGCTTAGCGCTCTCGATGTGCTACAAATGTTGGGACGTGCTGGTCGCCCGCAGTACGACACCAAAGGCGAAGGCATACTCATCACAAACCACAGCGAACTGCAATTCTATCTCTCGCTGCTCAATCAGCAGCTTCCCATCGAGTCACAGTTCATCTCTAAAATGCCCGACATGTTGAATGCCGAAATCGTGCTCGGCACAGTGCAGAATTTGAAAGACGCTGTGCATTGGCTTGGCTATACTTACCTTTACATACGCATGTTGCGCAACCCCACCTTGTATGGTGTTTCGCACGACGCCATACGCGACGATCCACTACTGGAGCAACATCGCGCCGATCTTATACACACTGCCTCGCTACATCTCGATCGCAGCGGCCTCGTTAAGTACGATCGTAAGAGCGGCCAGTTCCAAGTGACCGAGCTGGGACGTATAGCCTCCCATTATTACTGCACACATGAAACAATGATGACTTATAATCAACTGTTAAAGCAGACGCTCAGTGAGATCGAGCTATTCCGCGTTTTCTCACTCTCTTCGGAGTTCAAGCACATTGCTGTCCGTGAAGAAGAAAAATTGGAGTTGCAAAAGCTGATGGAACGTGTGCCCATACCCATCAAGGAGTCGATGGAGGAGCACAGCGCCAAGGTGAATGTACTACTGCAAGCGTATATCTCGCAATTGAAGTTGGAAGGATTTGCACTGATGTCGGACATGGTGTTCATAACTCAATCTGCGTCACGTTTAATGCGCGCAATCTTCGAAATTGTGCTGTATCGTGGCTGGGCACAGCTGGCTGACAAGACACTGACGCTCTGCAAGATGATCGACCGTCGCATGTGGCAATCTATGACGCCACTGCGCCAATTCAAAAAGATGCCCGACGAGATAGCCAAAAAGTTGGAGAAGAAAAATTTCCCTTGGGAGCGCTTATACGATTTGGAGCCAAATGAGATTGGTGAGCTGATACGTGTGCCGAAGTTGGGCAAGACCATACACAAGTTTGTGCATCAATTCCCCAAGCTGGAGCTTTCGACGCATATACAGCCCATCACCCGCGCCACATTGCGCGTTGAGCTTACAATTACGCCCGACTTTCAATGGGACGAGAAAGTTCACGGTTTATCTGAGGGATTCTGGATACTCATTGAAGATGTGGATTCTGAGGTGATTTTGCATCACGAATTCTTTTTGCTAAAGGAAAAATATTCACAAGACGAACATCAAATCAAGTTTTTTGTGCCGGTTTTTGAACCGCTGCCACCACAATATTTTCTACGCATCGTGTCTGACCGCTGGATTGGCTCCGAGACTCAGCTGCCGGTATCATTCAGGCATTTAATATTACCGGAGAAAAATATGCCACCCACAGAGTTGCTCGATTTGCAGCCGCTGCCCATATCTGCACTGCGCAAGCCGAAATTCGAGGAGTTCTATGTTGAACGTTTCCCACAGTTCAATCCAATTCAAACGCAGGTCTTCAATGCAGTCTATAATAGCGACGACAATGTGTTTGTAGGCGCGCCTACAGGTTCCGGCAAAATGACCATAGCCGAGTTCGCTATTATGCGTCTATTTTCGCAGCAAGCTGAGGGCCGCTGTGTTTACTTGGTGTCGAAGGAAGCGCTCGCCGATCTGGTTTTTGCCGATTGGCACGCCAAGTTCGGCGGCCTATCACTCAAGGTCGTCAAGCTAACCGGTGAAACTGGCACCGATTTGAAGCTACTCGCTAAGGGTCAAATAATCGTCACTACTGCCGACAAATGGGATGTGCTGTCGCGCCGCTGGAAGCAGCGCAAAAACGTGCAAGCAGTCAATCTCTTCATAGTCGATGAGCTGCAGTTGGTAGGCGGTGAAGATGGTCCAGTTTTAGAAGTAGTTTGCTCGCGCATGCGTTATATCTCCTCGCAAATCGAGAAACAGATTCGCATTGTGGCACTCTCCTCCTCGTTAGCCGACGCGCGTGATGTCGCACAGTGGCTCGGCTGCAACGCCAATGCCACATTCAATTTCCATCCGAGTGTGCGTCCCATTCCGCTGGAGCTGCACATTCAAGGCTATAGCATCACGCATAATGCCACTCGCATAGCTTCCATGTCTAAACCTGTATACAATGCAGTCATCAAATACAGTCCCCACAAGCCCGTCATTGTCTTTGTATCGTCGCGTAAGCAAGCGCGCCTTACCGCCATTGACATACTCACTTATAGTGCATCTGATATGCAGCCGAATCGCTTCTTTCACGCTGAAGAAGAGGATATCAAGCCCTTCTTGGATCGCATGTCTGACAAGACGCTGAAGGAAACACTTTCTCAGGGCGTGGCGTACATACACGAAGGGCTAACAGCCTCCGATCACCGTCTGGTGGAGCAACTATTTGATTCTGGGGCCGTACAGGTGGCGGTGGTGGCGCGCGATCTCTGCTGGGGCATGAGTATTTCTGCGCATTTGGTAATTATTATGGACACGCAATTCTACAACGGCAAGAATCATTCCTATGAGGACTATCCCATAACGGATGTGCTGCAAATGATCGGACGCGCTAATCGTCCAATTGAAGATGCGGACGCCAAATGTGTGCTGATGTGTCAATCGTCGAAGAAGGACTTCTTCAAAAAATTCATAAATGAGCCCTTGCCAATTGAGAGCCACTTGGATCACCGTTTGCATGATCACTTCAATGTTGAGGTGGTCACGAAAACAATCGAAAACAAGCAGGATGCTGTTGATTATCTGACCTGGACATTCTTATACAGGCGTCTGACGCAAAATCCGAACTATTACAACTTGCAAGGAGTTACGCACCGCCATCTCTCTGATCACTTGTCAGAGTTGGTCGAAAATACTCTCTCCGATTTGGAGCAATCTAAGTGCATCAGCATTGAGGATGATATGGATACTTTGCCGCTTAATCTGGGAATGATTGCTGCATATTATTACATTAATTACACAACAATTGGTATGTGTGTTCAAAATTTGTGTTTGTCCTTGCTAATTTTTTAATCGCCACTTTCTTTTTTTTGTATTTAAGTTGATCCAGAAAAGTTTACAATGTTTAAAAATCACCACTTTCCATTTCAGAACTTTTCAGCTTGTCGTTGAATAGCAAAACCAAAGTGCGCGGCTTACTGGAGATCATCTCTTCTGCGGCGGAGTATGAGGACATTGTTGTGCGCCATCATGAGGAAAATATACTGCGCACACTATCGCAACGTCTCCCAAACAAATTGACGGGACCTAACGATTCAGCACCAAAGTGAGTAGCATTACCCAATAGCTCTTTTTAGGCAGAGAAAATAGACTTCCGACATTCGTTCCCACAACAGTCGGGTCTACGGAGCGACCCAGATTTATATCTGTCCAAGGACTGTCACTCCAGCAACACTCTCCAAAATCTGTATGGGGAATTTGTATGCTGTTACAACAACAACAACTTCCGATATTATGCGCCATGAACGATAATGCCACCCTGCCCTCCAGGACGTGGCATAATAGCTAGGGCTGGTCGGCTATATTGTATAACCTGAAGATTGCTCAACCGTAAGCTCTATCCAAACAGGCAATGAACATTTTATTCCGTGACTTGCACTTCCCATTGATCCCATCCTGCCGTAACGGCACATTTTCTGGCCCAATTGTTGGCTAAATTTGACGACAACGATTGAAAGATAAGCTAGAATGCGTTCAGAAATGCATCAAGCCAAAGCATCAGTCTCTTTTACTTCTAAATTACAACTGATGGAAATGCCTTATTTACGCAATTACGTTCCAATTAGGCATTTAACCGTAGTTGCGCATATTGGAGATTTCCATCAATTATAGTTTAGAAATAAAAGCGACTGATGCTTTGGCTTGATGCATTTCTGAACACACCCCCCATCTTAGCTTTGCTTAGTAGCATTCAAAAATACAAGTATTTAAGAAATATTATTTTATTTAACGCAGATTCAACGATCCCCACATCAAGACAAACCTGTTGCTACAAGCCCACTTATCGCGTCTACAACTGGGCCCCGAATTGCAAGGCGACACAGAGTTGATTTTGGGCAAGGCTATTCGCCTCATTCAGGCCTGTGTCGATGTGCTTAGCTCTAATGGTTGGCTCTCGCCGGCTGTAGCCGCTATGGAGCTGGCACAAATGGTAACACAAGCCATGTGGAGTAAAGATTCGTATTTGAAACAGCTGCCGCACTTCTCAGCCGATATCATTAAGCGTTGCACTGAAAAGGTATGTTCAAATAGGGCTTGAGCTTGGCAAACCTTATTATATTTGATAATTCATTTGATTTTCAGAAAATCGAAACTGTTTTCGACATCATGGAGTTGGAGGATGATGATCGCTCTCGGCTGCTGCAGTTGACCGACGCACAAATGGCTGATGTGGCGCGCTTCTGTAATCGTTATCCGAACATAGAAATGAACTTTGAAGTGCTGGATAAGGATCGCATAAATTCCGGTTCGACGGTGAACGTTGTTGTGCAGCTAGAGCGTGAAGATGAAGTTACAGGCCCGGTCATAGCGCCATTCTTCCCACAGGTATGATAGAGATATCCCGTTTTTTTTTAAACTTCATTTATAACTACACCTTTCTGCTATAGAAACGCGAGGAAGGTTGGTGGGTGGTGATTGGTGATCCAAAAACGAATTCCTTGCTATCGATTAAGCGTCTGACACTACAGCAGAAAGCGAAAATAAAATTGGATTTCGTTGCGCCTAGCCCTGGCCGTCATGAGTACACTTTGTACTATATGAGTGATTCATATTTGGGCTGCGATCAGGAGTATAAGTTCTCCATTGAAGTAGGCGATTTCCAGTCGGAAAGTGAAAGCGAGTCGGATTAAATTTGCTTGATCATAAGAAATACATTATCTAATATATGGAATTCTCTTATCGTTAGTCGTAGTTTTTTGTGTATTTAGTATACATTTGCATATTTGAAGCATACGCGACTTGGCAAGTGGCCGCAAAAAAATAAAAAAGAAAATAAACAACAAAAAAATGTTATTGCAGCATGTTTTACTTTATTTGTAAGCACAGCAGTGGTATCAAATTCAAATCCGAAGGACTTTATCATAACCTTGCAATAATACATTTTCAAACCTACTGGCAAACTCCTTCTACTTGCGAAATATTATCTTTTAACTTAAATCAAAATCAATTGCACGTTTAAATTGTTCAAGTACTCAAAGCTTTAAGCCTGACCTACAGACACTGCAGATCCGCGACTGTTGGCATTATTTTCGAAGGGTCCATTAGCAAAACTGTTTGTGCTGGCAAAGTTGATTACCTGTCCATTGGGTAGCCGATACATTTGACTCATCGAAGCGCCGGCGGAAATTTGAAAGCCATGCGATCCCAACTGCGAGGTTTGCGCTAAGGTGCCCGCTGAAGAGGCGCCAAACGATCCATTTGGCCCAAAAGCATTGAACGCCTGTGAACCAGCATTCGAAGCGGCCGAGTTTGGGCCTTTTCTATCAAAGGCTGAGGCATCAGCGGTAGCCTGCGATTGTCCATATTGTGGTGTGAGGGGCTGGAATTGTGGTCGACGCTTAACACGCACGTGCTCCAGCAATGAAGCGTCATTTAAAGGCATATCAAAAGGTATGCTACGCACACGTCGCACCTGTGGTTTCAAATTGGTTTTTGGTTTGATGTAGAGCGAAGATTCGACTACCACTTCATCGACAGCAGCGCCAGTGGCAGCTATTGCAAAGGCAAAAAAGAGGAATGCAAGTAATTTTAGTTATATTTCTGTTGCGTATGCAAGTGTTTTTTTTGCTTTTACTCACGCAATGGGGCACTGGCTATGCTATCGTCACTAACAACATTTAAACTGGACGCGCTGCCGTGTGTCGCTATGAGTGTTAAAACCGCAGTTATTAAGAAATTCATATTAAGCTGAATATACATATGTATGCTCTCCGCTTTGGAGTGTGTGCGGAAGTTTCTGCACAACGTCCCAGTAGTTAGTCTTCACAAAGCGACGATCAAACCCAGACTATCGCCTGAGTCATTGACTGAGTCGCAGACAACTCTCGCTTTTTCTAGCTGCCACTTATGGTCAGCGCTAATCGGCTAAGTAACCAGAAAAGGTAACACTGAGCGGCTTAGTGTCGGCATTTAACAATATGTAGTGATATATGTAGAAGCGGAAGGTGTTTAATATTGCATTGAGAAAGGGGTAACGTAAAAAGATAGGAAATTAAATTCGCTAAAGTAGGGAATTTAGCGATTTCCAAAGCGTTTCTGATAAGCAAAAATTTAAAGTTTTGTATTATATTCGACAGTTTTTGAAAATACATATCAAAGTCAAAACCAAATCTCATACAAGCTTTTTGCCTCCACATACATACATATATGTATATGGGTAAGTGTACTTAATCTACAAACGTAATGTTATGCTCAACACGCGCAACATTTACTGTCTAACTAACGAACTTGTCCGAATGCTGGGGGAAGACCAGAAAGGTTGCGCAGTCTCAAACAAACAATCAATAGCTATGCCTTAAAATAACCATAGCTCTAATCGCAAAGCCAATGGAGGCAAGGTAGCAGGGCTACACTACAAAATCGAAGCAATGGACAGTGCGGCGACTCAGCGACCAGCAATAAGTGAACTGGTTTTCTCAGCTCATTAAGGAAGAAAACTAGTTTTGAAATTTCCTTTGAAGCCAGCGATAAATAAACGAATAAAGCAACAAGTGTGCGCGTGTGTGTATAGTAGTCGTAACCCTGCAGTAAAATTTAGAGACAGTCTGACAAAGCTCTAGTTGCGAACTATATATCTCAGAACTATCTCTGAACTAGTGCAAAAGGAACGCAGAGCGGGACAGTTGAAACTTGCGGTGTAGATGTACTACGTGTACAATATGACCCTGCAAAAATCGCGACTACTCCATTCATGCATGTAGAGAGTACTCCATAAGGGCCATGGAGTACTCTAAAATTAACCACAATTCATATAAAAAATATGGTCCAATTAACATTGCGATGTCCTAGGGCAGGACCATACACTCCATCCCTGCATTACATCAGAGTAGCACAAAACTACTCCAACATATTAACAATGGCATTGTTGTTATATTTTTTCGTTGGTACACGGTTTTGTTCTTCACTTCTCAGATGCTTTTTCGAAATTAATAAAAACCAAAAACAAAAATTAAAAATTATATGTTGCCTCCGACGGCATTCGAACCCGAATATGCTGGGAGCTAACAAATAACAGCGAGCATCTCTACACGTTCAGCTACAGCCAGACATGCAAATGTGCTTTCAAATGCTCCACTTCAATCACATTTCGTTAAAACACGAGCAGTGATCGGGTAACAAACAATAAGCTGGCGCAGAGACACGAGTTGGTCCGCTACAGCATAACAGAGGAACACTTTTGTAAGTACTCCAATATACCACAAATAGACTACATGGTCCAACGATTTTTGCAGGGCAATGTAGCTCAGCGAGAAGACCTCCGACTCAACCATCGTTGGTCGCGAGTTCAAATTGCGGTGGAGGCAGTTGTGAATTTTCATATTTAATGAATTTAAATTGTTGCATGCAGCTTACAATACATATATTTTTTTTAATAAAATATGTAACAAAAACGGAATCTGTAAAGGAAAAGAAAAAACGAAAAAAATGTCCAAATGTCGAATCGCAAAAACGTTTTCTTATAAAAAAAACTGTCCAAACTGGAACCGGTTAAATACCGGTTGCAAAGTAATGCACTGGGCGACAATTGCCACCGACAATGACATCGCCGTGTAAAACTGGGCAGTCGAAAGCATTGCTTGGGTATTGAGCTAAAACTGGTACTGTCGGCAAAAGGTCTAATTCTACGCTAGTTTGAGGCTAGTCAGATTTTCTGCAGGGAAGTTAAGTAAAGAGCTTGATCATAGTGGGAAAGACCAGTGAGCAGTGAGTGGAAGAAAAGGGGAATAGTAGAGAGAAGATATGTATATAGATATTTGCAAGAGAAGATATATAGATATTTGAAAGAGAATTGAGTAATTTAATAGAGCGGAAGAAGAAATGATCAAAAAGAGGAAGTCCGCGATAAATTAAAGCCGTTAAAATTTAAAGGGATAACTTCTTCTCTTCAGCGGACATAAAAATTAGCTCTGGAGTTGAACAAATTTTAACAATTTTAATCAAATATTTAGCTATTAAATTCATGTGAACTAAATAACTGAGTTGCATTTTTGTATATCTTTATTTGGACTTATTATTTTAATATGTTTAGGTATTACATATATCGGTAATAAAAGCAAAAAATTAGCGACTTCAAAAATTCGAAAATAGCTTAGTACATACATGAAATTCTTCTGTAGTAATTGATTTTCTAATTACATACATAAATGTGTATGCGTATCAAATAACAAACCGGCACAGATATACATATTTATCTATTGGCTTAACAAAGTGCATTATGAAATTGTTTATATCTACATACACGTGTGCATTTGAATAGTAATAGTAATATATGGAAATCTGTAGGTATACTCTACACTATCTACATACCTGATCAAGAACTCTGTAAATGTGTAAAGTACTAGGTGCATTCTTTTGCAACCGAGCTACAAAAGAACACTCGCTTAAATGACAAAATACATGCAAAGCAACAACACAAACTCGGCTATTTATCCGAGCTCAACCTGGTCGGTTAAAAAATACGCGACCTGAAGGGTAGTGTTGTTAAGTGAAAAAAACTGCTCTATTGCGAATTGTTAATGGGAAAGTGGAGATGGAAATTTTTGTTTCCTTGTATACGTGACTTATGTTTTAAACAAGTATATATATTACGTGAATACCTCGCATAATTACTCATTCAAATTGGTTTTTGTATTTAAATCCTGTTAAACAAATCACATGTTTCTTACCAGCTACCAACAGGGTTGCTTAAGTAGCTAAAAGGAAATTTGTACCCGAATTGAGCGTTCTTTTGTCGCTCGCTTACAAAAAAACGCAGTACTATTTATGTAATTAAACCGGCGCCAATATATTTAACTATGTATGTACTATGTAGATCGTAGTGAACACCAACTTTGATGTAGTTGATTTTTTAATATTATTTACTAACACAAAATTGATTTACGGTCTGAGATCGCTTAAATAAGACTACAAATACAAAGTATGCATAATATTTTACGTCTTAGACGGATTTAAAATATCAGCTTGCGTTAAGTTTCAGTTGTATTTGAAGATGGGGTAGGGCTAAAATATTTACAGTTGTCCACGGAACAAAAGAGGTCCGATGCCTTGACCTGTTTTGACAATGGGCTTGTTCGAGTTGCAATCAGAACTGCAGTATTGCGCGAATCATTAAAGTATCACGTTCGGTGTTAAATTCTAGCAATGTTGTATCACTTAAGAATTTGCAACAGTGTTGCACATTTTCATCAGTGCTGCAGTCTTGCCGATTTTATTACGAACCTCGAATAAGTCCAATTTCTCTTTTATTATTTGATGTTATTTGTACAAAAATTATAAGAATTCTACAAAGTTTCACCAAAATGTCAAATGCAGTTTTGTAGCCTATTAAATTGTAGTGTAATGATGAGCAAGTTTCATGCTGCTAAAAATATCTTTGATTTTTTAGCATTGTCTTCCATATAAAAGAAAATTACTTGTGTGGAAAAAATGCGAAACACCTTCAACAAAAAAAGTCTTGAAAATCAACGGGAGTTTTTACCAACATGAAACATGCATTTTCTAATAATAAAGTTTAGTGGGCTATAAACATGCATACGAATTTTATGTAAAGATTCTGATTAAAAAGTTTGAAATTTTGGTGAAAATTTGACGAATTTTTATAGTTTTGTACAAAGTTTTAAATGTGGATTTATATGGTGTTTGTCACATAACCTGCTAGACTTAAAAACAAATAATAATTAACATTAAATAAGCAAAAGAAAAATAGTAAAAACTGGTCAAAATCTCTCTCTCTCTCATTATTTTATGGACAACTGTTATGTTATTAAGAAAGCGAAAAATTATTTCAAGCAGATATTGTAAATATAATAATATTTTAAAATATCCTTAGCCCCAAGCTGACGTTATGAGCTTTTCCTTTTGAGTGAAACAATGTTATCTAACAATATGGACTAATACATTTAAGAACCACTGAGCGTGAACATGTCATAGTTTCGCAGTTGATGAGACAATAATGTTGAAATTAATTTCTGGTAATTCAAATCAGTGCGCTTACAACTACAATTTTTAAATTTATACTTAAGAGTGTGGGATATGGCAGACCCTCTCTGTTATATTCTTACGAAATGTATACTCCTTTACATGAATACAGTATTAGAAAGTGCCACATATAATCAAATCGAAATAAACCCTCACTAACTGATAAAGCTTTTTTTGCTGCCAAATTAAGACACTTTAAACATTATTATGCTAACATAACAATTGATTTTAAGCATTAAAATTAAGAATCGTGTTGTTAAAATAAATCTCTAACTTTAATCGAAAATGTTGAAATTTATAATCAACTTAAGGAAAATCTCAATATTAAAATTGTTAGGAAATTTTTTAAGCCTGCTAAAGATTTGAACAAATAATAAGTATGCACCTGAAATTTGGCTTCCATATCAATGTGTCGCGCACAATTTCGTAGTCGTTTGATTAAAAGCGAAATTCGCATATTCACACTGACTCAAGCTCGGATTAATAGGTATTTCCGCTGTGTACATATTTTTTATAGTTGATTTATTAGTTTTCCTTATTTGCATGTTTTTTACTTGCCTTTTTAAATAAATCTTTTAAATCGTGTGCAACTCTCTATAGTGTGTGTTTATTTATTCTATGCCATGAGCAAAAATCATTACCAAGCCTGGTTCGACCATTACATCCTCGGACATGTGAGCATTATCGCAGCTTAAAACCAGCACAGCTTGTTTACCTAAGAATTGATCAATGCTTGAAACTTCAGTAGTAAATAAATCTTTCCTACGTATAACTTACCCGGTATACGCCGGCAAATGTAGTTATCGTAGATGCGTCTATTATTCTGACGGGTCTCCAAAGAGCTCAAGCCACGCGGCCAGCGTCTTTCGTGGCAATTCTCCATTAGATTGTCTAAAATATGTGGCGGGCAGCCAGACTCGGACAAAGCACGTTTTATCATCATCTGAACATAAATAATCAACTCATTAGAAAGATTCAAAAACTCAATCTCGCATTGTTTCATATCTATGAATTTTCTCACCTGTAGTGCATCGTCTGGTGTTGAGATCATACCACCCCAGCGTGTTACGCGCGCCCTTGATAGTGTCGAGCTCCAGCGTATAACTTCATCCCGTTCCATTTGATCGGCAATAGCCCGCATGGCAGGATTTGAGACGCGCATTGCGCGCATAAAGTCTTTAAAAAGTTGCAACTCACGTTTTAATTCGTTGATTGCCAAATTTTGGTCAGCAATCTCTGTCTTAAGCTCTCCCATTTTTAATTGTTGCTGATGTATCATAGAACGCAATTCGCGCAAACAGTTGTGATCCTTTAGTTCATCCTT